AACGAATAAGTACTTAACTTGAGGGTACCACTGTATTTCCATAAAATTTTGTTGTGAAGCTCTTAAATGAACACGTTTTTTCATGAAAACTCTGACACTCCAATAGAGTATTTTGACTCCTGGCACAAATAGTAGCTTTGGGGGGGTTGTCATGCAACCACACGAGGGAGTTTTTCATGCCCCCCACCCTATTAACCAGCTGCTGCTACCCCTCCCCAGACCAAGAGAGCCTAGTTTCCAGCCAATATCCCACATACAATCAACCCCTCAGGTGGCAGAAAAAAGTTGAATTGTTTCTCACCTGTGGCTAAACTCCAGCGGCTTTCACGCATGCAAAAGCCTCTTGCTCTGTTGACTTGTGTGTGCAGAGGCGGTTGAGCTGTTTAGAATGCTAAGTTGCCTTGTGGACTCCAATAAGATGGCCGAAAAAAATCTTATAAATAAATTAAAATTAAACTAGATAGATTTTGATTGTTGATTGGACTCAGTCTGAACCCTTATTGTGTCCATCCCCTTATGGTTTTGATCTATGGCTATTATTAAAATGAGGCTGCATTTTTAAATTGTGATTTTTAACCTGTATTTTAATTTTCCCCCTTCCCCTATTATGTTTTATTGTAATTTTATGTGGGTGTTAGCCGCCTTTGAGCCCAGCTCTGGCCAGGGAGGGAGGGGTGGATAAAAAAAATATTATTATTATTATTATTATTATTATTATAGGAGGTCAGGCCAGAGTTAGAAAAGATCAATAGCTACCTTTACTTGCTACCTGTGGGTTTCTTGGGAGGTGGGAGGCAGAAAGGGGACAATTGCTGCTTTATCAGTGCTTCCTATCACTGGAGGAGAAAGAGACCAAAGCAGTACAGTACCTCGGGTTACATGTACGCTCAGGTTACATACGCTTCAGGTTACAAGACTTTCTGCTATCCCAGAAATAGACCTCAGGGTAAGAACTTTGCTTCAGGAGAGAACAGAATCGTGCTCCAGTGGCACAGAGCAGCAGGAGGGCCCCTTAGCCTAAAGTGGCTGCTTCAGAGTTTAAGAAGTTCAGGTTAAGTACGGACCTCCAGAAGAATTAATACTTAACGTGAGTACCACTGTAGTGCCCAAATAACCTTGGAAGGAGACCACTCACGTCTGTCTAGTTTTATTACATCCAACGGACCTTGCCACTTGCAGAAGAACGAACCAGATTCCCTCTAGTTGGGCATCTGTGGGGTGACATAGTTGTAGGACAAAAAAGAATGCGCATAGGAAATGGCTTGTGCTTCGAAGCGATTTTTTTGTCACTTGCAGACGCTGAACGCATTTTGACCTTTGTTGACCAGAGATAAAAAAATCTAAATGATCTTGTCCTACGTAAGGCTGGCCTCTTATCCTCTTTCTGTT